CCTGGGGTGTGGCCTGCACCACCTTCTGTCTTACAAGAGATAAAAGGAAAGGGAAGCAAGCAGAGAGTTGGGGACCTCATAGCACCAAGAAAGCAGCACCCGAAGCAGAGCGCGTCCTTTGGACCGAGGTCCCTGAGCCTGAGAAGCTCCTCAACCAGGGGAAGACTGATGAGAAGGACCTTCCTCAAGAGCCAACAGAGACAGAAAGGCTTCCCCTGGAGCTGACGCTGTGTATTTGGACTTTCAGCCTACTTTACTGTGAGGAAATAAATTTCTCTTGTGGTATTTCTGTTACAGCAGCACTAGATAATTAAGACAGACCCTCAGCGACATGTACTGACACAGTGGCTGCAACAGTGGGCTCAAGCATAATAATGATTGTGGGGCTGGCGCAGGACTGGGCAGTGTTTCGTTCTGTTGTGCGTAGGGTCGCTATGAGTCGGAACCGACTCGACAGCACCTAACAACAACAATAACAACAAGTCAGAATTGACCCGACGGCAATAGGTTTGGTATTGGTGGGGCAAAATAATAATATACTCAAAGAGAAATTGATACATGGGGACCATTTACTCCAACACGGAATGACCCCCATGCTGCTGTTTCTGCATTCTCTTCCAGTGTGGCAGATGTCACTGGTGAAATAAGGACCTCTGAAAATTGTCTCTTCCATAAAAGGAATAAGAAAACTGGGGAAATGGTCAGAATCAACATATTCAGAACTCTGGAAATTAAAAGGCTTGCAGCAATCCAGAGAACATTTATTCAAGAAAATCAGCTGATCGTGGTAAGAACCGTGATCTTTGTGGTGTTTAAACTTGCCCTACTACAATCCCCCCACCACCACCTCGAGCTCTGCCACCCCAAAACCAAACTCACTGTCATGGAGTCAATTCCAACTCATAGCACCCTATGAGATAGAGCAGAACTGTCCCCTAGGATTTCAAGGCTACTGTCCCCTTTGATTTCTAAGGCTATAAATCTTTACAGAAGCCAACTGCCACATCTTTCTCCCACGGAGAGGCTGGTGGGTTCAAGCCACCGACCTTTCAGTTAGCAGCCGAGAACTTTCACCATTGTGCCACCAGGACGCCTCTTGAGCTCTGCAGTAGCTTTAAAAACCAACAGGCATCACGGTGAAAACCAGCAGCCTGGCAACCACTAGAGGGAAGCAGAACGGAGTTGGAGCTCCCAAAGCTTCCTCCTCAGAGAATTGCCATTTGACTTGTCTGGAGGATTCCCAGAAGACCCTTCTTGTAAGACCATTTTTTTATTTAACTTGACTCCAAGCTTGCCCAGTGAAAACAGCCTTTTCCCTGGGGGAATTTCTGAAAAATATTTAGATGCATCTGTTTAACTTCACATCTGCCTGAGGCAGTGAATAACAGCTGGGGGCAAATAATAGGCGAGCCAAAACAGTTTCAATGGAAAAGCTGGGGAATGAGTGTCAATAGGGGCTTTGAAAATCTCCAACATATTCCTGGGAATTTAGAAGGCCACAAACATATGCATAGAGCTGTGTGCACGCCAAGGGCTGTGTGCCTGCTCAGGAAAGACCCGCCAAGGCCCTAAGGTCTCCGTTCTGGTGACCTTGAGGTCCTCATGCAAGCAGGAACTGAAGGCTACGGCAGATTTGTCAACTGCTTGGCTGAGTGTTAATGGTATGCCCCAACACACATACGGAGCCCCTGAGTAAGCACTAGGAGACTTATTGGTTCCAGGTATTTAAGAAAACCTCTGTTCATTCATTAGCTGACCGCTAAACTAAAAGAGCAGAAATATTAGCGGCCACACATGACAAAGAATACAGACTATATAGTAAAGAATAACTTTATCCAAAAAGAGGTCTGGCCTTTGCCCTCTGCTCCTGGGAGGGATTTCTAAGCCCTTGGAATGTCCTGCCTGATCACAGTGACTTTGTTTACATAAGGGCCTGGGCCATACCACATAGTCTATGCTAAAGATTTATGGTGGGGGCTTTGAGCTACTTGGTGTCAGCTTAACCTCTAGTGGGGCTGAAGGTTAAGGTCAGCTATGCAGGCAGCCAACCATGTTGACATGACCAAGCCCCAATAAAAATTCTGGATACCAAAGCTCAGGTGAGCTTTCCTGATAGACAATATTTTGTGCAGAGTCACACATTACCAGAAGTTAGTACTGTCCACAACTTCACTGGAAGAAGACAACTGAAAGCTCCATACTTGGAACTCTCCTGGACTCTGGCCTGGGGACCTCTTTCGTTGGTGTTTTTAATCTTATCCTTTTTTCACTATAATAAATTGCAACCATGAGTATAACAGTTTCCAGTGAGTTCTTTTAGCAAATTATCAAAATTGAGGGTGGTTTTGGGGATCCCTGAACTTGCAGTCGGTGTGATCGACAACGACCACTCATTGCAATTACTATGATACTATTTACCATGGTCCCTGGAAAAGGACATCATGCTTGGTAAAGTAGAGGGTCAGCAAAAAACAGGAACACCCTCAATGAGATGACTGACACAGTGGCTACAACAATGGGCTCAAGCATAACAACGATCGTGAGGATGGCACAGTACCAGGCAGTGTTTCATTCTGTTGTACACAGGGTTGATATGAGTGGGAACTGACTCAATGGCACCTAACAACAATAATATTCACCATGGAAGTATTTCAATCTTCTAACCCTCAGTATGGCACAGGGTACATATTGGCTAAATATCAGCTCTGGTCTGTCGCCTGAATTTAATCCATGGGCTGCCAGTTTTAGCTTCCGTCCAAAACTCCAGAGACATTATCAGTGGGTCTTGGAACCTGGGGTGGGGTTCACTTCAGAAGCAGCTCTAGATGAGTAGTCTATGCCTCCCTTTTGTGTAGTGGATGGGTATCAAAGGATGTCACACCTGAGATACTTCACTGACTCATGAAACCTGCCTGCCCCCTGTAGTCATCTAAATTTTCCACCCTGAGTTAGGATTTCAAAAAAAGACTTCCTGTCCTACCAAAATTCCTGAGATGAGGATTTGCAAAACCTGGCTACCTGCTAGGAATGGGAAGGAAAAACACAAATAGCAACCACTAACTCAATGTTGCAAAAAAGTATCTTGCCACACCTGCACATCCAAGATAAAGACGTAGCTGCTTGAAACCTTCCCTAATCCCCAGCCAGCAGTGCCCATGATAAAATCTCTCTCTTAGATTACTTATCATATTCTAACCTATGATTATAGATGCCTCAAAAACAAATTCCAAACCAGGGCTTCAAGCCAGTTCTTCTTAGTTCAGTCATGGCTGAGAAAGTGAAACCAGAACAGACCCACATGTTTACAATTTAGGTGCTCTGGAACAGTAGCCAGAATGGAAAAAATGACCGGTAGAAGCCCTGCTAGAAGCCTGATTTCCCTCTTAGAAGTCAAGGGCAGAGTATGCATTGCATAGCAACTAAATCTCTTGCCCCTTGGATTTTGAGCAGAGTTGGAAGCAGTGCCCTGTTCAAAGATGGGTGACGGCACTGCTTTGAATGTGTTGCTCTGCACAGGCCTGCCAATAATTCACAGTGACTTTGTTTACATAAGGGCCTGGGCCATACCACATAGTCTATGCTAAAGATTTATGGTGGGGGCTTTGAGCTACTTGGTGTCAGCTTAACCTCTAGTGGGGCTGAAGGTTAAGGTCAGCTATGCAGGCAGCCAACCATGTTGACATGACCAAGCCCCAATAAAAATTCTGGATACCAAAGCTCAGGTGAGCTTTCCTGATAGACAATATTTTGTGCAGAGTCACACATTACCAGAAGTTAGTACTGTCCACAACTTCACTGGAAGAAGACAACTGAAAGCTCCATACTTGGAACTCTCCTGGACTCTGGCCTGGGGACCTCTTTCGTTGGTGTTTTTAATCTTATCCTTTTTTCACTATAATAAATTGCAACCATGAGTATAACAGTTTCCAGCATCAGGCTCCTGAAAGGGCTCATACGCCTCTTCTCAGTCTCCCATTCCAGGGCTTCGACCCATAATTTTTCCATTCCAGTGATCATTCTGGAGCACCCAATGTAAACATTCAGGTCTGTTCCAGTTTCGCTTCTGTCAGCCATGACTGAACCGGTTCAAAGCCATGCTCCAAACTCCCCAGACTAGCATTCTCTGCCCCACCCATTGGTCCCGAGAACATGAAATCTCCCCTTCCGCATAGGCCTCGGGTAGTCACACTTCCATGCCTTGCTCAAGACAGTTTCCTCTGGAGCAGGCTCCTCATTCCTTCTCGTCAGTATCCATCGCGGCGGGGCAAAAAAGCTGCTCCTCCAGGAGGCCTTCCGGGATACCTCTCGGGACAGACCATTTCCTAAACTGCCTAGCTCTTTCTCTGACCGTCCGTCTATCCAAGAACTTATCCCATTCGTCCTCAGAAGGCAGGGGCCTGGCAGGCCTCCGGGTTTGCTGAATGACCCAACAAAAGAGGGTGTTCATCGGCCGCACCAGCCTGCACCTCACTCAACAGATAATGACCCAGCACCTACGTGCCAGGCCCTGAGGTCGGCGGTGGGAACCCAGCAGCGTACACGACATACAAGGCCCTTGCTCAAAAGAGCTTAGTCTAGCGAGGCCCGCAGACAAAACTCATTTTGCTAACTTCAAAGAGTTGTAAATGCTGTGAAGGGCCTGGAAGCGACCTGGGATCCTGCCTCGCTTAGAGGGCTGCGCGCGCACACCGCGCCTAGCGTTTGCCTCAGTTTCTCCACAGGCCGGTACCGCGTCGGTCTCCAAAAGTGCAACAGGCCCCTCCCCGCGCACTTTCGCGTTGCCAAGTCTGCGCAGCTGCACACTACCTACCCCGGCGTGCCCCGCGTCCCGCCCACCTCCCCCTCCCCGGGTCCCGGGCTGGGTACCGTCTTCCCGACAGGCCTCGGAGCCCCACTGCATGCCGGGAGTTGTGGTCTCGGGGAGGCTGTGCGGCGCGGCGGCCGGCCGGCCGGAGCGCGTGGCAGGAAGCGGAAGCGGCAGCGGCCTATAACCTGGACCCAGCCCCGCCCCGCGCCTCCCGCCGTGGCGCTACACTGACGTGTCTATCCGCGGATAAGTTGCGCCCCGGCGCGGTGTGAGCCGCGGGGCAGCGTCGGCTTAGTGGAAGCGGAGCTGAAGCAGGACCCGGAACCCGAGCAACCGACGCCATGGCGAGTGAGTCCCTCGGGAGCAGTCCAGAGGCCGCCGGGGCGGATTAGACCCCCTTCCCCTCACCGGTCCGTTCAGGCGCCCACCGGCCCGGCCTGCCCGGTTCCCTGGAGACCGGGGCTCGCGCCCCCCGGCCTTCCTCAAGGGTCCCCGTGCGCCCCACGCCCATCTTGCTCTCTGCCCCTGCTCTCGCTCATCGTGTGCCGAAGGCTTCGCGGGTAGCGCGGAAGGTTTCTCTCTGCCCTAACTCCTCTTATTTCTCCCCTCCAAGTCAAATTTCTAGAAGTCATCAAGCCCTTCTGTGTCATCCTGCCGGAAATTCAGAAGCCTGAGAGGAAGGTAAGTTCCCTAAATCGCTCTTAAAGAATGCTTCGTGAAAGTGTATAGGCGCTTGAAGTTTACAGTACAGTTAAAAATGGCTTCAACACGCCAGATGGCACTCTCCCCTCTCTTCCCCCTGAAGTATAGTTGTGTGTACTGTGATGCTCCTAAGTTTCGTAGAAAGATGACCTGGCTGTGTGGGGGATTCCACTGAAGTCTACATGCATTGTTGGACCACCTTTTGTGGATGTTGCTTCAGTGAACAAAGTCTCGGGTTTACCCTGTCGCAGAAATGGATTCTGGCCTCAAAGGCCTCAGTCGGGAAACCCGGATTGAGTTACTGTTCTTTCTTGACCCCTAACAGGGTTAGACCATGGTTGAGTTTGCCTAGGAGATGTTCTTTGTATCCAGCTGCTAAAAGGAGTTAAGGGCAGTCACTTTGTTTTGTACAAATGAGCAGGTACTTTTTGTATAGGCTGTCACATTACTCTGGGGGAGCGGTGGTTAAAGCACTTGGGTGCAAACCAAAAGGTTGGCAGTTCAAAGCCACCAGCAGCTCCATGGGAGGAAGATGTGGCAGTCTGCTTCCATAAAGATTTGTAGTCTTGGAAACTCTGTGGGGCAGTTCTAGTCTGTCCTTTTGGGTGGCCATGAGTTGGAATCGGCTCGATGACAGTGGGTTTGGTTTTGGTTTGGTCACATTACTAAGAATAAAGGCATATCAGTGAAGTCTGGTACTTTTTATAGCAGGCACATTACAACAGGGAAAGAGACATGTAGAGCTATGTTGAATTGTTAGAATTTCTGTTGCTGCACAGCTAAGGCCCAAGATAGTGAGTGTTGCCAGTACTGTATAAGTAAAGCTGGTAATGAAGAAAAGTTTGATTAGGTTTTTAAGTTAAAGAGAATGAATAGTGAAACACTTTTGTCTTTTCTCATTTTTTAGGCTATTAATGTAGTCACATGTTTATGTATAAGTGACATCAATCTGGACACTTGGGGTCTATTTTTTTTTTTTTTAAACTTGAAATTGTTATACATAAATGCCCCACATTAATAGGCTAATTTCACTAGTGAGTTGCAAAGCTCCCTGCCTCCCTCCCAAGCATAATGGAAAGGGCATGGGGCCTGGAGCCAGGCAAGCCTAGATTTCACTCTTCACACAACCTCTTAATAGCTCTGTGACGTTGGCTTTGTAACTAAGTGTGATAGGTACAGCAGCAGAAATCTGTGCAAGGTATAGCAGTGACTCAGAAAGGAGTTGACTCTGGAAAATGTAATTTCTGGTGGTTTTGAAGGAGGAATAGATGTTTTCTTAAAGGCATGGGAAGAAATTCCAGGCAACAAGAATGTATAGCGTGCAAAGACAAAGAAGACAAGACTGTGTAGTGTGTTGGAGGGGGGGGTGTCCCCCAAAAATATGTCTTGGAAATCCTATTCTCTGTGTCTGTGGTTATAATCCCGTTTGGGAATGGGTTGTCTTTGTTACGTTAATTAGATGTTATTACCGTAGGGTATGTCTTAAATCTCTTTTGAGGTATAAAAGAGATTAAATTAACAACAGCAACAACAACTTAACCTCTCTAAAACTTTCTTGGCGCATTATAGAGTAGATACAATACTGCTGCGTGGTATGCGTGTTAAGTGATACGTGTAAAGACCTTGTACTCAGAAAGCATGGATTACATGGTGCTCACGTTTGGTTAAGTGTGTTCAGGGCTTCTCTGAACAGAGAGGAATCTGATTTGAGTCCATTTTTATTAATTTGTTTATGAAAATAACTTGTTTAACTTTTCTTCGTTCTCTTCTTTAGATTCAGTTTAAGGAGAAAGTGCTGTGGACTGCTATCACCCTCTTTATCTTCTTAGTATGCTGCCAGGTAAACACAGGTTTAGTGTCAACTGTTGGAATAGGGGATAAGGGTGGGCTGCAACAAGTGAGTTGACTAGTTTTTTCTTTGCTTGTGTCCAGATCCCCTTATTTGGTATCATGTCTTCAGATTCGGCTGATCCTTTCTATTGGATGAGAGTGATTCTAGCTTCTAACAGAGGTAGGACTCTGGCTTTCTGTACCTTTTCTCTGTACAAAGTGGGCTTGACTGGCCTAATTTAGTTAAATTGTAGGCTTTGGATTTATGTGGAGTTTAGAGAGTATGAAGAATGTGGCCTGGAAAATAAGGTGAAGAACATTGACGTGCTATGCTGAATAGCCTTATTAAATACTGGATTCAAGACTGGACATGCCGTCATATTTGGAATTGTGTTTGAATGAAGTATGTTATGGAGTGAATTGTGTCCCCCAGAAATGTGTATTGGAAATCCTAATCTCTATGTCTGTGGTTATAATCCCATTTGGGAATGGGTTGTCTTTGTTATGTTAATTAGATGTTATTGATGTAGGGTATGTCTTAAATCAATCTCTTTTGAGATATAAAAGAGATTAAACGAGCAAGTGAAAGAAGCAGAGATGGGGTAAGATAGATGCCAAGACAGTGGAGATCTCCAGGGAACCACAAAGCAGAGGCTGAAGAGACAAGGAACTTCTTCCAGAGCTGACAGAGAGAGAGAGAGCCTTCCCCTAGGGCTAGTGCTCTGAATTCGGACTTCTAGCGTCCTAAACTGTGAGAACATAAATTTGTTTGTTAAAGCCATCCATTTGTGGTGTTTGTGGTGTTTCTGTTATGGCAGCACTAGATAACTAAAACACAGTATAAAACCTATAATAACAAGATAAGTCTTTGTTGTAGAGAATAGAAAACATGGAAAAACTAGAATGCGTTTTAAACACATGAAATGATGACATTTTTACTTGTCTTGTGTCTTGATAACACATTGTTTAGAAATATAATTCATTTCTCAGCTGCATCTTTTTTTATATCTATAGGTTACATGTCTGTGTCAAAAATAATGTGTAACACTATTTTGTATACTCTAACCAATTACCTATTGGGGGATTTTGAATGTGTACTAGTGTTGATATTGTGTTTGATTAACTTGTTTTTAAAATATAGTTCAAATTAAGTTCCAAATCAGTTGGAAGTATAGCTCATTTTATCATAATGGAAGTAGAGGTTTATTCACGGCTAGATACAATTGTACAGGACCCCATTCCAGACTCTGGAAATTATTTGAATGTTATCCTTTTTTATTAGCTGATGAAGAGGTAAATATTTCTTATCTCTGTAAAACCAGAATGGATCTGTTATGGTGAATGTAAATGCAGCGATCTTCTTAGATGCCATGTGACTTCCTCAACAGAATGAGACATCGCCTGGCAGGCAGACCAGGATGAATTGAATTATACACCAATTGTTGATATTTTGGGGTTATTCTCTAAATTAAATGCTGCTGCCAAAGTGACACACATTGGATTTGTGTAAGGGGGACCCAGTCAAATCTTGCACATTCATTTTCCTAATAATGTTTTGCTTTTCCAAGCTAATATTGCCTGTGTTTTGTCTCTCCCTTTTCTCAAGGCACATTGATGGAGCTGGGTATCTCTCCCATTGTCACCTCTGGCCTTATCATGCAGCTCTTGGCTGGGGCAAAAATAATTGAAGTTGGTGACACCCCAAAAGACCGAGCTCTCTTCAACGGAGCCCAAAAGTGTAAGTGAGATGGTGAATAACGTTCATACATCTGTGGTTAGGCATTTGAGTTTGCTACAAAGTTTGAGGAGTTTTTCTTTGTATGACATAACCTCCTTGGCTCACCACTGCAGGTACTCCTTGGCCTGTGTTATTGAGTACAGCACTTCTATGAGGGCAGAGGTGCAGGGCACCTGGAATGGCCTGGATGCACCAGGGGTAGGAGAGTATTGAGAGTGCCCCCAGAGGCCGAGGTCATAGAATGGGGGAAGGGGCTTGGTGGTCCAGTCTCAGCTCCCCCAGGCACTTCACAGGGCCTTAGACAAATCTGACTGCTTCTTGGAACCTCAGTTTCATCACCATTTAGAAGGAGATAATGTCTTCTTCAGAGTTGTTGTGAGGATTAAATTAAATAATGTGTTTAAAACATCTATCAAAATGCCTAGCACGCAGTAGTTATTTGGAAGGTGTTGTTTTTTCTTCTGGGAGTTCAGAAAGGTTTAACTTAGTGGGAAAGGAGAGCTTCTCATCCCATTTCTGTCTATTAGCTGTGTGACTTTGGAGAGCATTAGATGACAGCTCTTAGTTTCATCTGTAAAAATGAGGATAATAATGGTATTTGTCTTATGGCCATTAGTAAGTGTTATTAGCAACAACGGAGCCCTTGGTGGCACAGTAGTTAGGAGTTCGACTGCTAACCAAAAGGCCAGCAGTTCAAATCCACTGGCCGCTCCTTGGAAGCCCTGTGGGGCAGTTCTTCTCTGTCCTATAAGGTTGCCATGAGTCAATCAGCTTGACAGCAGTGAGTTTGGTTTTTTCTTTGGTACTAGCAACAATGACCAGTCAGCAGAGTTAACCCTGTTCACGTCGTTGCTATTACCTGAAATATACGAATTAGAAAATATTTTACCATTTCTTGTGCAGCCGTATTTTCTTTCACACCAATGTGTTTTACAGATCTTCTTAAGTTAGTAGGTTAAATGATGGAGTGAGAAAGACTGATCTGATTTAAACCTGTCAGTTTCAGCCACAAATCAGGATTTAAAGTATATACATACATTATTTTTCAAAAGCATAAAGCAGCTGTTTTCTCCTTGATCTTGACAATTTTTTGAACATCTTTCTGCCTTAAGAATTCAGTGTTACTCAGCACTCTTTAAAAAGTCAAATAGGGACTATATTTGATGGATACTTTAAATTTTTATTTTATGCAGTAGAATAAGCGGAGAAGCTGAAATTGAAGGCACAGACCCATTCTTAGAGATCCATGTAGTATTGTGGAAGCATCGAATATGTGGCAGTTCCATTGTGCGTAACAATGATGTGTAATGAGATACAAGAGAGGAAGAGAGTCTATAAAAAGGAAAGCTTGTATTCCAAAGTAGCTTGGTAGCAGAGGAAATGTGAATAGTGAATAAAATGGTACCATCATGAAGTTTTTCACCTTGAAAACACATTCAGTAGAAACAGGAGAAGGGATCCCTTTGTTCCACTGTTGATGGTCCGTGTTCTGGACTCAGCTAGATGGTGAGCTACAGAGGTGGCCAAGTGTGTGACAACACATGAGCTATCCAGGTGGGCTGATGTTGAATTTGGGTGCTGGGGGTTTAGGATATTGCCAAATTCTGTGTCTCTGGATGTTTTCTTCAGTAATTTTCCTCGCTGATTTGCTTTTATACCAACTGGATGTACCACTTTTCAAGTGTTTCACTTCTCCTTTACTAAAAGGAAAGTTATTTTAGGAAAAGGTGAAATTAAAGAGCAGGCGTGCTTTTGTTAAAAGTCATTTGCATTATCGTGTACTTTGATGCCATGACTGATCAGATGTTTGCTAGACCAGGCTCCTTGTCGGCAGTGTCAGTATTTTTCATCATTCTTCTTGGCAGTCTTTGTCAGTATTCAGTAACTGCTTCCTTTACTACCATGTAATATCCCACTTGGAGAACATAATTTTCTTTTGATTTCCAGTATTTGGCATGATCATTACTATTGGCCAGTCTATCGTATATGTGATGACCGGAATGTATGGGGACCCTTCTGAAATGGGTGCTGGAATCTGCCTGTTAATCACCATCCAGGTAATTGCTGTGCTAACATCCCGTCTGCTGACTAGCCCCTCACACCTACACATCTCAAAAATAAGTCTGAACCACACATTTAGAAGGAACTCTTCCTGAGAAGAAGCTAAAGGTCCTGTGTTTGTCCTTTCAACTCAAAAGAGGGGGACTGTACTACCCACTACCTGTGAGCTGAGGATGAGCTCTGACCCAGCCTTCGAAGTTTTTAACAGACAAGCCCAGTGATTAAAGAAGGGAAGGACCATGTCCATGGTGAGCAGTAATAATGCATTGTCTGTTTGGGTTTCTTTTTTAATTTTCACAGCTCTTTGTTGCTGGATTAATTGTCCTCCTTCTGGATGAACTCTTGCAAAAAGGGTATGGCCTGGGCTCTGGTATTTCCCTCTTCATTGCAACCAACATCTGCGAGACCATTGTGTGGAAGGCGTTCAGCCCCACCACTGTCAACACTGGCCGAGGTAAGGGCCCTGGGCTTTCCCGGTGATAGGGTTCCATAAAAAGTACTGATGTTTGCCAGTAGAGAGTCCCTGATGGAGCAGGAGAAAGGTGGGGTACAGAACTCAAATTCTAGTAAAAAGACCAGACTTAATGGTCTGACTAAGACTAGAGGAACTCCAGAAAGCATGGCCCCCGGACTCTCTGTCAACCCAGAACTAAAACAGTTCCCAAGGCTAACTCTTCAGACAAAGATTGGACTGGACTGTGGGACATAAAATGATACTCGTGAAGAGTGTGCTTCTTAGCTCAAGTAGATACTAAATGGGCAGTTTCTGTCCAGAGGTGAGATGAGAAGGCAGAGAGGGTTAGGAGCTGGTTGAATGGACATGGGAAATCGGGTGTAAAGGAGTGTGCCGTCACAGTATGGGGAGAGCAATTAGGGTCACATAACAGTGTATGTATAAATTTTTGTATGAAAGACTAACTTGAATTGTAAACTTTCACTTAAACTACAATATAAAAAAAAAAATTGGAACGGCGGAAAACAAAGTATTAATGTATGCAAAGCAGTAGAGAAAAGTTCCCCCATTCCACTGAAAAATCAGTTTTAGGTGCATCTGCAAACTTTCTGAAAACGCATATCTATACTCATAACATCCTGTAAGGTTGCTATGAGTCGGAATCAACTCGACAGCAAGGGGTTTTTGTTTCGTTTCGTTTTTGTATACTCGTAATGATACGTAACTTACATTCTTCACGTAAGAGTGTTCCATGGACATTGGCCACGCCAGAACACGTAATCCTGCCTCAGTCTTCTAGCACAGCGTGGACTTCCATTGCAAGGATGAAGCAACATTATTGTAGCCACTCTTCTTCTGGTGGGCATTTGAGTTATCTCTGTTTTTGTTTTTTGTTTTCTGTTTCTCCTATTTGCTGTTCCAAACATTTGGACAGTGACCATCCTTCCATCCTTGTACGTTCATCTTTTCATACTTTTGCAGTTGCTCCCAGTAAGTAAATTTTTAAAAGTGAGATGACTGAAGCAAAGCACTTTGTCATACAAAGGGCAGCTTTGCACAAGGGGCCTGGGCTTGAGGAGTTCAACGCCTGGGTTCCAGTCCTGGCTGTTCCAGTTAGTAGATACATATGTGACTTTGGGCACATTCCTTCCCCTCTGAACCTTGGTTGCCAGGATTACATGAGACAAATAACATGAAATAGTAGATACATATCAAATGTTAGTATTTTGCTTTATGTCGACAAAGGGTGCTGTGAAAATCTTGTTACACAGGATGTTTTTCATAAAAATTTCTAAACATACGAGGAGAGCCTTAGAGTAAAACTTACTAGGAAAAGGAGATCAGCTTTTTTCATCACTAAATATGTTACTTGCACAGAAGTGTCCTGTGAGAAATAGCTATTCATGCACATTTGAGCACTTTATTTGAATTGAGTGCTGGAAACAGTTCCCTGCCTCCAGAGACCATACAATTAGTGACACTGAAAGCAAGTCCCTGGACAAACGAAGGCCACATGTACCCAACAAATTACAAAGGATAAAAGTGTAACTTGAAGTAGGAAATGTCAGGAGAGCCTTAGTAAAGAGTGGGCAAGATCAGATATGGTTCTTTGGGCACCAGTTAGGGTTTTAGAAAATCCAAAGCACATTGGGAAAAACTGGGAGACAGAAGGCAGGCTTATTCAGGGATGTTGTGGAAAGGCAGGAAGTCTATAAAGGCATAGAAGACTGGCAGCAACTGGCAAAGGAAGCCACAGTCCATCCTGAAGCAGGGCAGTGCGGTGATGGAAGCCAGAGTTTGACAGGGATGACTTAGAATGGAAAGAGGCAGAAAAAGCAGCTGAATATTGTTACAGTAATCCAGGTTTGACAAGACTGCTAAAAGATTGAGTGAGAGTATTAGGAGAAAAGATGTCAGGGAGACACAACAAAGGAACTTTCAGGGGTAGTGAAAAACCGAGACGTAAAAGCAGGTTTGTTTCTGGCATTAAATGGAAAATGTCACTGTCAATGGGCAGTGTTTGGGACCTGCTGGAGAGAAGGTTCAAGCGGGGAGGGGGTTCACAGCTGTGCCCTGGGTGCCAAGTGAAGCTGTGAGGGAGAACTCAGCTCCTGAGGAGTGAGGGGAAGGGAGAGGGTTGGAGTCGAGGGTTGAGCCTTGGAGAAGGGCAGGAAGAGTAGTGGAGAGGTCACAGATATTCCTGGCTGACTGCTGCGGCTTAGGGTAAGGACATGGGATATACATTGTTGAGTGAGACTCCCTCAGGTCTGAGAGAATGACCATTACTATTTCCCTGGGCGAGTGGAAAACGCCCAAACTGGGGATTAGTGCAGACAGTCCCAATACAAAACAGCTTTGGCCCTTGAAGTAACACTAGTACTTGGAAACTTTATCTTGTTCCCAGAGATTCAGTAGGTAGTGAATTTTGAGAGAGATTTATGTCAACAGTTAGGAGAACTTGGACCTAATTCTGGCATTGCTGTTAGCTAGCCTTTCATTCCACAGATATTTATCAGGTGCCTGTTACATGCCAAGGAGCCCTGGCAGCACAGTGGTTAAGTGCTCAGCTGCCAACCGAAAGGTCAGCAGTTCAAACCCCCCAGCCGCTCCGTGGGAGAAAGATGCGGCAGTCTGCTTCTGTAAAGATTTACAGCCTTGGAAACCCTATGGGGCAGTTCTACTCTGTCCTAGCGAGTTGCTGTGAGTCGAAATTGACTCGACAGCAGTGGGTTTGGTTTTTGGTTTGTTAATGTACCGGGCACTGTTCTAGGTACTGGGAGTACTGTAGGGAGCAATTAAAATGTGTGTTATCAGTATGTCAAGTGTTAATGAAAATAAAGCAGAGAAAGGAGATGGGGATGCTAGGGGAGGGTTGCTGCAGTTTTAGTCTGAATAATAAGGAAGACCACTGACTTGTACAAAGTCCTGAAATAGGTAAGGGAGTCTTGCGACTGTTTGGGGGGAGAATATTCTGTTTGGAGGGAACAGCAAGTGCAAAAGCCCTGAGATAGGGGTGTACCTAGTGTGTTCAAGAATCAGCATGTGCAGCTGGAGCAGAATGAACAAGGGACGAGTAGTTGGAGATGAGATCAAAGGGCGTTGGGGTGGGCAGAGCATGTAGCCTGGTAGACCATGTGGCCTTGAAGTTCCTTCTTCCTTTCCTAGGGCCTGCCTCCTCTGTAAAGTAGGAGGCTTGTCCTGGCCACCCTTTAGCATCTCTGAATTCTATACATTAAGGAGACAGACCAGTATTGTCACATGTGACCAAAAGGTGGGGAGGATGGGAGCTGATGAAAAGACCATCACAGGGTGAACGAGGAAGCCACAAATGGTTAGCATAGAGTGGCTGATCGAAGCCACATCCTGCTGGCTTCAGGAGAGGTGAGTGGTAGTGCCAGTTAGGTGGTCTGCCTGAAATCTCCTCTCCGAACGTCCAAGAAAAAGCTGCAAGGAGAAGCAGCAGCAGGCAGTTTAGCTAACACTTGTGAGAAAGTGGAAAATGCCGTCACAGCAGTACCAGTTCCCCACTCCCACCTACTGTCCACCTTTAGAGAAATCGAGTTGGCTTCCTGCCAGTAAAAGCACACAGGAGTAGGGTGAGACTTCCATTGTGAGACAGCTACGCTGTGTTGGAATAGCATAGGTTACACAGCAACGCGATACTCGTTTCTTTAGCCTTTTTTTTTTTTAAGATAAGTTTCTTGGCAGTTTATAAAACGTTTAGGTCTTAATAATGCCCGTGCATCCTAGCTTCCTTTCACTTGTCTGTGTTGTTGAATCCTCAGATTGAAAGCCATTCTACCTACTTTTCTTCTGCTAGCCCTGCCTTCTCTGACACCATCTTGTGGTGGGCGTGTGAGAGCAGTTTCTAATCTGGATCAGGCCCTGTGGTGGGCATGTGGGCTGCCCTCTCTGCTTGTATAGTCAGTGTAAGGACCTGAGCCCCACCATGTCAGGGACATCCTGTACTTCAGAGCCCTTGACATGGATGTGTGTCCTTCCTGGGGCTTTCCAGGGAAGTGGCTTTGTCTGCTTGGAGCCCACCTTCAATGTAGGGCTCCTTCCAGCTAGAGTTCAGCAAACCGTGTGCGGTGCGATGGATCACTTTTGTGTGGCCTTCCTCGCCATGTTCTTGTAACTTCCACCCACATGGTTGGGCAGGACTGTGTGATAGGGTAATTGTGGCCTACCAAAGCAATTGGTCAGTTTTGCCATCCCACTGGGTTCAAAATGAGCCATTTCAAAGGCGGGAAAGAGAGGATCCCACCACCACCAAGGAAGAACGGCCGCAAGTGGAGAGCGCATCCTTTGGACCCAAGATTCCTGCACTGAGAAGCTCCTGGAACCAGGAGACAGCACGAGTTGTAACGCTGAAGACGGCGAGAAGCAGTGGCAGGAGACACTGGCAGGAGACTGCACAGTGGGCTTCTCGGCCCAAAGAGTGAGAAAGCTGAGTGCCTTTGGGCAGAGCCAAGTGGCCAGGGAGAGGCGTGCCTTCAGGATACAGTTCTTCGATCAGGACAAACTGTTCCCAGCAGCGCTCAAAGGCACGCCTCTCCCTAATAAACCTCATAATCGTCGGTATTGTCTGTGAGTTCTATGGGGCCATTGCAATGAATTACCAAAGCCAGCAGAGAAGTAGAGAGTGCTGTATAAGGGACGGTTGTTAGAATTGGTAAAAATGGCAGAGAGAGGAGGCATGTGTGACCTCCACCTCATAGGAATCAGCCTTGGACTGTTGATCTTGATTCTCCTTCTCCCTTGTGAAGAGAGAGGAGGTCGAACACCTTTCCCATGCTGTTTGTACACTCTGCTTTTCTGTTGTACTTGGTGATCATTTTTCTCACATCTCGTGGCCGTTGTCTTAGATATGCCTAAGAAATGGGATTAACTCAATTCGAAATAGTAGCCTAGCCCATTTCTGAGTTTGAAATCTCTGCAGAAAGAAGACCAAAGAAGAATTGGTACATTTGCATTATGGTGTTGGTGAAGAATGTTGAATATACCACAGGCTGGCAGAAGAGAACAAATCTGTTTTGGAAGAAATACAGCCAAAATGTTCCTTAGAAGTGAGGATAGTGAGACTTCATTTTGCATACTTTGGACATGTTATCAGGAGGTGCTGGTCCCTGGAGAAGGACGTCATGCTTGGTACAGTTAAAGAGGAAGACCTTCAACAAGATGGATTGACACAGTGGCTGTAACAGTGGGCTCAGACATAGCAACGATTGTGAGGATGATGCTGGACCAGGCATTGTTTCGTTCTGTTGTGCGTAGCGTTGCTTTGAGTCCGAACCAACTTGACGGCAGCTAGCAACAACAGAAGAAATAGAGTTGAAGGATGAGAAAATCCGTGCTCCACCCCTGTGGTTATGGGAGGAGGCACCGTGAATCTCATAACTAGTTCAGTCTTCCTCGTTATTTTGGCCACTAAGAAGCTTAGCGCCGAGTTTATTTGTTGTTTGTCCCTTTACCTAATGTGTCCCTTTCTTCACCAACAGGAATGGAGTTTGAAGGTGCCATCATTGCACTGTTCCACCTGCTGGCCACGCGCACTGACAAAGTCCGAGCCCTTCGAGAGGCCTTCTACCGCCAGAATCTCCCCAACCTCATGAACCTGATTGCCACCATCTTTGTCTTTGCAGTTGTCATCTATTTTCAGGTGTGTCCAGATCCAGGTTCAGGGAATTGTGGTGGTCTGGATTTCAGAATGCCTTGCTGTGTCCGTCCCCATTCATGCCCTGAAATGATGTGATGGCATTGAAGGGATCAAGTTCCCATGTGAGCTGGACAAGTGTACTCCCTCGAGTCATGGGGACTTGCCAACTAAACAGAAGTAAGGCAGATCTAAAGTTTCTGAAGTCACATTCCCTTGAGCTGGCCCAATCAGAAGATAAGCCATATTTTTTAAAGTCTTAGTTCAAGAGAAATGAACAGCTCTGTATTGGTTTTAAGAATCTAGATTTTGCTCTTACTGTGTGAGACGGGATCATCAGAATCTCTGACTCACAGAGAACTATTAAGACTCCTGAAACATCTGTGATTCTGATGAAGGTAATTTTAGTAATCTAGCTTTGAAACTTCATCGCTGTCTTATTCGTCCAAACTTTGTAGACTAGTCGTAGAAAATCGTTTCATCTTGGAAAAGGCTATTCCTCTCTTGAGCTCCTGCCTTTAAAGTTCCTAGCCAGTTGCTTTTCTGTAGTTGGATTGATCTGTGTGTGTTTTGATTGTCTACTTTGTATTCTGATGTTCACTGAAAGGAAAGGAGAGTAATTGAGAAGGCAGTTTAGTGTTTGTGAAAAGGTATTTATACCAGCTAAATGCTTTTACTGAGAACCAAGTAAACTGGTGTACTCTTTCTTCCACAGCTTTTAGCCAGATGCCTGAGAAATAACAAGCTAACTTTCAGGACTTGGCTGATATTTGCAGTGGTATCATTAAGAATTTCTTTTAAATTCTCTCTGTTCTGAGCCCTATTCTAGTTACTGGGGTCTGTAACAATAATATCAAATAAATGCTTTCTATTCTCCTAGGGTTTCAGAGGGAGAGATTGTAGTCTTAGAAAAGTTCAGCTTTTCTGCTATGATTGAAAACATCTGAGAGGACTGTGCCAGGGATGTAAGGACGACACCATGGTGGCCTTGTCTGGGGGCCTCTATAAAGGCACGGGGAAGTCCAGAGAATGTGAATCACCACACGAAATGACCCCTGTGAGGGTGTTGCTGTTGGTGCCTCCAGGCTCGTCTGCATTCACACACCGTGTGATGTAACATGGTGGACTTTGCTTTTTACAAAAATGGGACCGTTCCACTGTGTTTTGATTTGGTGCATTTTTAAACTAGTCTTTCTTAGAACCTTTTATGTGTGCCCCCAAGTGAAGTAGTGGACAAGGAAGAGGCATAAGTTCTTGAACCCTTTCAGACAGGAGGCCCTAGAACCAGTGTTCAGGGCTACCTCCCCAGTGGCAGGCCTGGTGGTCCCCAGCTGTCTGTGTGTCTGCATAACATTGGAAAGAGGCTGGCAGTGAAAGGGTATTTTGTTGTGTTTGGCTTCTCAGGGTTTCCGAGTGGACCTGCCAATCAAGTCAGCCCGTTACCGAGGCCAGTACAACACCTACCCAATCAAGCTGTTCTACACCTCCAACATTCCCATCATCCTGCAGTCGGCCCTGGTGTCCAACTTGTATGTCATCTCGCAGATGCTGTCGGCTCGCTTCAGCGGCAACCTGCTTGTTAGCCTGCTGGGCACTTGGTCTGTAAGTGTGGCTGTTTCCAGCTCTTCTCATTTTGGTGCTCTGGCTACTTGGAGATATTTCAGCCAAAGATATTTTCTAATTGTGCCCTTGACAAATTCAGCATATTACATTTTCTTCTCACCAAGAAAACTGTACTCTGAGTGCTTGAGTAAACTTGTATGCTTTTTATCTTTTCAGAATTGTGTCCTGTTGCTAAGGTAATGAGGCAGCATTCACAGGCTTCCTGTCTGTTCTTTCCAGGACACCTCTTCCGGGGGCCCCGCACGTGCTTATCCAGTCGGTGGCCTCTGCTATTACCTGTCCCCTCCAGAGTCTTTTGGTTCTGTGTTAGAAGACCCCGTCCATGCCGTCGTGTACATAGTGTTCATGCTGGGCTCCTGTGCGTTCTTCTCCAAAACGTGGATTGAGGTCTCAGGTTCCTCTGCCAAAGATGTAAGTCTAAATTCGCATTTCTAGAGAGACCTTTACATTGGGAAACAGTAGTTGTTACCTGCTACTTGTATGAGGGACATTGACTTGTCACCTTGATATAAAAAAGTAGTCTGTGAATGCATGCAGATACTTCCTGCCACCTCTGTGGGGGATGGGGTTTCAGTGAACGCACATGAACACTTCCTGCCTCCTCCACGAGTGGACTTTATTGTTTAAAGTTATCTACATAAATATTGTTCGGTGCTGGGAAGGAAAATCTATAAATGTTTAGAACCACCATGAATTGTCCATCTTCCGTCCTACTTCAAACGGAAAATTGAACACTGTCCTCTCTTTGGTGGGCGACATGCAGGTTGCAAAGCAGCTGAAGGAGCAGCAGATGGTTATGAGAGGCCACCGAGAAACATCCATGGTCCATGAACTCAATCGGTGAGTGGTTGGGCCAGGTTCCTCCGGCTCTCTGTTCAGGCACATTACACTAGCCAAGCAGCAGCTGTGTGTCATTTCCTTACCCATCAGACATCCCAGTAGGCCTCAGAATTTCTGGTTCATCAAACCTCATCCTTGGGTTACAGGGTAGAAAAGTTCCCTGAGTCATTAAATATTGATGAGCCTCCTAAGCGCCGGACACTGGGCATGTAGAAATGAGCGCATGCAGCCCCTCTCCTCAAAGAGAGAGCATTTAAGTTCGTGCAGGGCAGGATTCTGAAAGGGGGGTGCTTCAGGAGGAAGGGCAAGCTTCTTCAAAGGGCTGGAGGCTTTCAAGTTCCGGGCCATCAAATAATGGAGTCTGAGCTTAGATCAGGGCCTGCAGCGGAGGTGAGGCCGGAGAATCCGGCAGCGGCTGGCCATGCAAGGCCGTGATTCCCCCTAAGGTACTGAGAGGTGTTTGAAGCAGGAGGAAAGGGCAGGAGCTCGTGGCCATTCAGGAAGGTTAGTATATTAGCAAATGGAAACCGGAGGGAGAGGAGGTGGCAGAAAGGCCAGCTGGGCTGCTTGCTGTCGGAGTTTGAGCCATAGGTGATGGGCATCCGGATGTAGCAGGAGCTTCGGGGGCGAGAAGGAGAGAGATTGGTGAGCAGCTGGGTGGTGGAGGTCAAGGTGGGCACAGGGAAGAGTCTAGAGTGGCCCTTGGGGTGCTTACATGGCACTGCTGTCTGCACATCGTCTTCATACATGATGGAGCTGCCTCTTGGCCAGCAGGGCTGGGGTAGTAAATATTTAGGCTTTTTAGGCCTTTCAGTCTCTATTAGAGCTACTCACCGATGCTCTTGCAGCGTGAAAGCAGCCGTAGACAGCACGTAAGTGAATGAGTGTGGCTGTGTCCTGTAAAATTGTTTACAAATTCAGGTGGCTAACTGGATTTGGCCTGTGAGCTGTAGTTTGCTGACCCCTGATCTAAAGGAAGGAACCATGAGAAAAGCCAGTGTTGTGAATTTAAGATCATTTTCTAATACCTAACAGGGAATTTATTTCATTTTCTTAATATTTAGCCTCCAGATTTGCAGCACTGTGCAGTAGAAATACAGTGTGAGCCACGTATGTCACCTTAAAAGTTTTCTAGTAGCTGTGTTTAAAAAGTAAAAAGAAGCAGATGGAATTCATTTTAATCATTTATTTAGTATATTCAGAATCATTTCAACTTATAATCAGCATAAGAAAAATCATGATGAGATATTTTACATTCTTTTTTTCAAACTAAATCTTCAAACTTGTGCATATATTTAACACTTAAAACACATCTTGATTTGGACTTGTCACATTTCAGCTGCCTCTAGGGGCTCGTGTGGCCATTACAGCACAGCTCTGGTCTGAACGTGGCTCATGTGCTGATAGGTGACAGTGGGTGGCTCTCAGAGAGGCAGGTCTCTTGGGACTGCCAGTCCCTGGCTGGGAGCAGGTGGCGGGTGGGAGGAATGGCGTGGTGTCAGGCTGACTGCACCGTTTTCCCCAGGTACATCCCTACAGCCGCGGCCTTCGGCGGGCTGTGCATCGGTGCCCTCTCAGTTCTGGCCGACTTCCTGGGCGCCATTGGGTCTGGGACGGGAATCCTCCTCGCTGTCACAATCATCTACCAGTACTTTGAAATCTTCGTGAAGGAGCAGAGTGAGGTTGGCAGCATGGGAGCTCTTCTGTTCTGAGCCGTGCGTCCCCACGGACCAAGGAGAGGACTGCTCCTGAGTCAGCGGGAATGGAGAGGCGCAGAGCTCCCTCGGCGGGCACTTCTCACAGGAGGGCGTTGCTGCGGCATGCGGACTTCTGTTTCATGATGTTTTGGAATTTTATATTCTTTCATTCCACTTTGTAAAAGGCTAGGAATTTCCCAATTTGAACTTTTGCTTTTTATTCTGGCATTGGCAAAAAGAACTGTCAAAATGAGATTTTTATTCGGCTAATTGCCAGAAATGGTGAAAATTATATCCACAAGTATCCAGTTAACTTTTTTTAGCCTTCTCAGTGCTGTCCGTGGCCACAGTGGCTTCACCTTTTTCCCCACAAAGGAAATTCTTTGCTCTGGCTAAAAGCACATACACTGAGATGTCTGCCGTTTGTTTTGGCATTGGAGGGAAGCTGGGAGAGTAGTGTGTGTTTTCTGGTGGACTTGGGGAACTGGTGTATTGAAACCTTACTACAATGTCTCCTTCACAGTCAGGATTGGGAATATCTAGTTTAAGACTGTTTCTCTGTAAGATAAAATTGTTTTTCCTTTTAAAAGTAGTTTTTTAGGACAGAGCTTCCACAAGAGGGCTGGAGTCCCTAGAAGACACCCTTGGGCCATCTGTTAACGTTCCTGCATCTGCCTGGTCAGGCTTAGACGTGGACAAGAACAGTCTGCTTGTCTCTGTCATCCCCATAGTTAGTCTGTGCCCTTTGCTCGGGCAAGGCCGGGATTCAGAGTTGAACCCTACTGAGCTAGGATAGACATTTGTGTGGGAGAACCTAGAAATGAGGTCTACCTGTCCAGATTCTCTGTCATCCATCCGACTTCTCTGCGTGGTCCACACTGCTATTCTTCTCTTCCCTAGAGAGGGAAGCATTTTGGCATGCAATCAGATGTGGAAAGAGTGTTCCACTCCATGTTCAAAAGCCACTCTACCTTCTAGGCTGTAAATGGCCCACGTGTATTTTTTGAACTTTTTTATTGTGTTTCGGACCAAATGAAAGTCATGTAAATGACCAGCTGCCACTGCTGTCCTCTCCACCTGGCCGGTCCTGTCCACAGAGAGAAGGGCAGGCTCTAGTGCTCGCTATGAAAGGGCTCAGGATGACCTCTGGAGTCAGGTCCGTGACTGGCAGGTGACCTTCCAGGAGGCCCCTTAGAGGACAGGTACTGTCCCGGCAGTGTAGTGTCAGCAGGGGTATAGCAGGGCCGTGGGTACTGCAGTCATCAGGGACCTAGAGTCTGAATGGCCACAGGGTGCTGTTGGAGGGGCTCAGTTCTATGAAGGGAGCCCCTCAGGTGGTTGCAGTTGTGTGGGAGAGAAGCCTCTGGCAGCAGGCACCTACTGGCTCCGAAGGCCAGAGCCAGGGCCATGGTTTAGTGTTGTTTTGGCAGCAGAGGTGACAGACTGTCTGATCAGGGTGGAGTTCCCTGGCCGCCTCACTACAGTGCTGACTGGGAAACTGAGCTGACCAGGGAGGAGGAGTGACTTGCCTGAAGCCACCAGCAGGTCAGCAGCAGAACCAGGACAGGCCCCAGTCCCAAACCTCAGTCCAGGGCTTACCACCTATCACACGTGGCCTTGTCTAGACCCAGTCCTGAGCAGATGGGAGGCTCTGAGACCCTAATACCCTTCCTGCCCGATGCGGTTTGCTCTCTGCCCTTGCCCCACACCTCCCAGCCCCGGTCCACTCAGACCTGCCACAGAGTGGCCAGGCCTCCCATCAGCCCCATCACATGGGCTGCTGTGGCCTTGGACGGACATGGCAGCAGTGACCCAGCTCAACCAAGGGTGTGAGCTGAGGGGTACCAGGCCTTGTGGGGGCAGCCTGCAGTCACGCCTCAGCCTGTAACCAGTGTGCTAAGAGCACCAGTTGTTGCCCAGCTGGGCCCTGTGTGGCCTGAGCTCACACTCTGGTTGATGATCAGGGTGGGTGGGGGCTGACTCTGACTTTCAGGGGACTGTCACTGTGGGTGCCAAAATGGCATAACTGAGATAAGGTGAATAAGTGACAAATAAACCTAACTTTTTACAAGTCTGGTAACATTGTCTTGATTTTAAATTCCATTTTATTCCCAAAAAGGCCAGTGAGAGAAGGCATGAGTGCACCTTTAGGTGCGGAAGGCTTGGTTGGGTCCTGGTTTTAGAGTACAGCTGTCTCGCTGCCCCCAGTGGAAGAAGGGCCACACCCTTTTGGCAGGAGGGTGTGTTCCTCGGTGTCAGTCTCCCAGGGCTGCCGTGACAAAATACCACAAATTGGGTGGCCTCTAAGAAACAGAAATGTATTGTCTTACCACTCTGGAGGCTGGGAATCAAGAGATCAGGGTATCAGTTGTGTTGATTCATTCTGGGGACTCTGAGGGAGAAGCTGTTCCAAGCCTCTCCCACCAACCCTTGGCATTCCTTGGCTTGTAGCTGCATCTGCCTCCGTTGTCACATGGCCGTCCTTCCTCTGTCTCATTGTCTCCTGTGTCTCTTTTGAGGACACCAGTCATACAGGATCAGGACCCACTACTCCAGTATGAACTCATGTTAACCCAGCTGATAACATCTTCAAAGATCCTATTTCCAAGCAGAAGCACACTCATAGCTATAGGGGTTAGGACTTCAGCATATTTTAGGGGGGACACAATTCGTAACCCTTGGAGAGGCTTGCTCTCATTTCCATCCCCACGCTTCAGTGCAGATCTGGTCACTGAAATGTTGGCATGATCTTGAGGCTGGCTCCCTACGGAGCCCTGGACCCCAGCACTGAGTGAAAGGGAGTAGCAGGCATGATGGCTGCCACCCCAGAATGTACTGCTGACAAATCCGAACTGTTTCCACCCTGAATTGAACAGCAGACTGCTGTGTCAGCAAGAAGAAAAACATCGTCCGTCAGGGTTTAGAGACTCTTATTCTGGACAAGTCCTCCCCCAGGCCATCTACCATCACTACCACAGCCTGTGCCTCTCCAGTAACCACGAGCAGCTAGTGGGCAGGGAGCTTGCCCTTCACTTCTCGGGCCCCCTGGGAACTAGCCTCTGCATCTCCATGTAGAGTCTTAGAGCTCTTCTTGGAGATACTCTTGATTTTTGTGGTGGTGGCAGGCCAGGGCAGGGTGCCCCTCTGGGACCACATGTGTTGGGGGCCTGACCCTGCAGAGCCACATCTCAAGCACAGATGTGCAGCCAGGACACAAAGCCCAAGGCCTTTCCTACCCTAAGCTCCTGTTTGGCTGCTCGAAGGCCTAGTTGGGGCAAGGAATGAGGGGCCCAGGGAAACATGCCCCACCCCTGGGAGCTTCCTCATGGCATCTTTGGCTGAATACCTGTAGGAAGCCTGCCATTGGCTCATGGGGCAAACTCAGCCTCAGCTGCCGCCCTCTGATCCTTCCACTGCTGACACCCCTGCCTCACACCCAGGCCCAGCAGGAAGTCAGGAAGCTCACATGCAGTGCGGAAGAGGAGTAGGCCTCCCATCCCAGCCTGGAGGTATCAGCCCATGCTCAGGGGTGGCATGGGGCACCGCCTGAGGGTCAACAAAAGTCCCAGCCCAAATTCCAACCACACCAAGGGCCCTGAAGAGTCCTAGAGGTGCCCTAAGTGGTAGCACCCACCTCACTCCCCTACCCCAGAGCCTCTGGCCAGCACACCACCACATTACCCACTCCTTTCCACTCAACAGGCATTGAGCACTCACTGTGTGCCAGACCCTGTGTGGTAAAGGAACAGATAGCACTCTCCCTCAGAAAGCCCATGCCCAGCAGCAGGGGGAAACCAATGTCCACCAAGCCTCTGGGGCTTTCCCGAGTGTTCCCTTGGTCCATCTGCCTGAAAAACTCCTGTTCATTGTTCAAAGCCCAGCTCAATAAGGCTAGAAACATCTATGTGCCCATCAGAAGGGGCTTAGGTAAATTTCAGCACCTCCCTATGGAAAGGAACTAGGAGGACTCTATATACTGACTTAAAAGGATCTCCAAGATAAACTTGAGGGGAAAAAAGGCAAGAAGCAAAACAGTGTAGGTAGTCTGCTACTATTTGTGCTAAAATGGGGTGGGGCTGGGGGGTAAAAATAGACTGCATTGGGAAAAGATCTGACAATTTTTTATGAAATTAAACATACACCCACTTAATGACCCAGCAATTCCAGTCTTGGGTATTTACCCAACAGAAATAAAAACATCGCTTACACAAAGACTTGTGTAAGAATGTTCATACCAAGAATATTTGTAACAGCTGAAAACTGGGAACAGCCCAGATGTCCATTCTCAGGTGAATGGACCACTAAACTCTGGTACATCCATACAATGGTGTACCACCCAGCAGCAAAAAGAACAAACTGCTGATAAGCACCTCAACATTCACAACTCTCAAAACCATTATTTCTAAGCAAAAGAAACCAGTCACAAAAGACCACATACATACCGTACGATTCTATTTATATAAAATTCTAGAAAAGGCAAAGCTCATCTATGGTGAAAAAAATCAAAACAGTGATTGCCTCTAGGGACTTGGGGATTGACTGGAAAGACGTACAAGGCAACTTTCTGGGGTGGTGACAAAGTTCTTGTTACAGGTTCCAAAATTCACGGAATGATCCACTTAAGACATGTGCATTTCACTGTGTATAATTTTGACCTTAAAAAAAACAAATATTGAGCTCGATATTTCTATGTATGTATTTAGGGATGATTTGTACTGACGTGTGCAACTTTGAAATACACTGATAGGGTAAAAAAAGATAGGGTAAAAATGGGTTGATGGATAGAAGCATGGATAGCATTGAGGTAATAGTTATCTGCACAATTCTTACAACTTTCCTGTATGTTTGGAATTTTTTGTAATAAATGTTGGGAAACAATATACTATGCAGTAATGTGTGAACTAGCTTGTATATGCACAGGACACCTCTAGGATATGCTGCCATGTTGCTTCTGCGGAGGGGAACAGGATAGCTGAGGGTGGGCGGGGCAGAGGGGGATTCTTCACTGTACACCTCTTGTACTTTTTTTAGCCATGTTACAGTATGACCGATTCAAAAAATTAAATAAGCATATACATGTATGTATGGAGCCTTGGTGGCGTCGTGGTCAGGAACTCGGCTGCTAACCAAAAGGTGGGCAGTCTGAATCCACCAGCCCCTCCTTGGAAACCTTGTGAGGCAGTTCTACCCTTTCCTACAGGGTCGCTATGAGTCAGAATCGATTCGATGGTAAATGGGTATGTGTGTGTGTGTGTGTATGTATATGTGTGTGTGTGTGTATGTATATGTGTGTGTGTTTTGTTTTAATGAGAAGCCCAGCTAAGGTGTCATTTCCTCTAGTAAGCCTTCTCAAATGCACCTTTAGACACACACTCCTTCCTCCCTGCAGGACCCCTAACCCTCTTTAGGCCTCAGTCTCCATTGCAGGGAGACAAGTTGGGCAGGTGCTGTATCCGACTCAGGGAACTAAAAGACCCTTTGGTCCGGCCTGGCCACAGGCCCTGCTCCTCCGAGGCAGGGCAGCTTGGGGTGGGGGACGTGGAGGCCGGGCCCGACTGTGCTTCCCCAGGCCTGTGCGCATCTGCCCACGCGGGGGCGCTGTGGTCTCGTAATCCCGCGGGGGCCGGCACCCAGTTCCGCCCAGCCCCTGGTGCCACGCCCCTCCTGAAATCCCACCGCCCACTGGTGAGCCCCAGCGCTACCCAGCGGCTGCCCCTCGCTCACTTCCTGCCACTCTGGCCTCTCCTCTGCTCCCCGCTGCTATGTACCCTCAGCCTAGAGCGCGCTCAGCTCGTGCCCCTTCCCGGTTCCGTTGCACCTGGCACAGGGACTCTCTCATAACGGGTTGTGGGTTGCTCGGCTTGTGCCTCTCCTGGGCTCGCCCCTCACTCACTAAGCTTCTGGTCCATCCTAACGCGGCCCTGGTGTGGTGGGTCACTACAGGCACCACAGACAAGCACCCCTCAGAGACAAAGCTCCAGAGCAGCGGAGACACGTAAGATGAGACCTGCGGACCTGCCTGGAGGGGAACACAAGTGTGAAGGCCTGAGGTGCTCCTTAGCGTCCTTCAGGAATTGGAGGGACCAGCCAGGTGGCTGCAATGGAGGGGAGCAGGGGTGCTGGTGGGAGATGAGCCAGCGCGGGGTCCCGGCGAGCCTGCAAGCCTCGCAGCTGGCTCTGTGGAAATGTGGAAGGGCTTTGAGCAGGGTCGGATTTGGGGTTTTGAAAGGTGGCTGGGTCCGTGGGGAGGGGACCTGCTGAGGCCAAGGAGGCTACTGGCCCTGGTGGCCGAGGTCATTTTAAGTGTGCCCCTGTGTTCACACACACGCGGGGGCCACCCTGCACTGAGTCCCGCAGACACTGCGTGCCACCCTATGCACGTGCGCCAGAACATGGGGAGGTGCGCCTTGCCCCTGGCCCAACACTAGCGCGTCCCAGGTAGCGCCGGGCCCTGCGGGCGCGTGTGGTTGTCTCATGTGGAGGGCGCGCTGCCAGCGTGGACCCCTTGCACCTATCACCCCACTGTTAACTGCGCCCTGCCCGCGGGGCCGCCGTGAGGCTGCGGACAGTTTCCATGCTGGAGGTGTGCGGGTGGAGAGTGCCCAGCCGGGGCGCTGCGCTGTGCCCGCGCCGTCTCCCCGGCCGCTGCGCCCGGCGTCATTCATCACTGCGCGCGTTGACAGCCTTATCGCGCAGCGCGGCGGGCGGGGCGCGGCCGATGAATGGGCCGTCAGCGCGGCGACCGGCCGGCGGCAATCAGCAGGAGCCCATCGCGCCCCTCTTATCGCGCCGGCCCAGCCACCGCCCGCTGCGCGCCGCCGATTGATCGCGCGTCGTTCCCGCCTGGCCGGGGCCGGGGTCAACGCGGCCGGGCCGGCCTGACAGCCGCATCCATCGCCGCCGAGACGCGCGCCGACGGCCGGCCGGCCCAGCCATTAATCACCGCGCCTGCTGAGAGTGATGGGGAGGGGCGACAGGGCCAGGCCGGGGGACAGAGCCCGGGGACAGAGTCCCCAGGGACCAGCTCCCACACACGGCCCACCCCTTTTTGACTCGGGGACCCTGCTGCCCTGTGCTTCCCTGCAGCCCTGCCCAGCCCATCATCCCCACCGGCCTGCTATCCCCAGAATGAATGGGAGAGAGGGCCCCAGCTGGTGGGAAGCTGGCGAGCGCGTGGGCGGGTGGTGAGGGGATGGATGAGCAGACCAGGTGGACGGTTGTGGACACCATTCTAGCTCCTAGTCAGCCTGTCTGTCCCAAAGACCAAAGAGAGGGCTGGCCTAGGCTGACAAACACTGCTCTGCTTGGACACGCTGCTCCAGCCAGCTGGGGTGCTGGAGTCCAGCCAGAGGCACCATATCATTCCTAGAAGTCAAGGACACGGAGGAAAGCCCACACACCTTTGCCCGCCCTCCTCTGCTCCCAGAGCTGTGTAGACAGATCCTCAGGGATTTATCTAGCCACAGGGAGGGTCTCTAAGGGTCCTTCCTGCTGGACTGAGACAGGAAGGGGGACAAGTTTCTGGCTCCTGTCTGACAGACTGTGTGACCTTCTCTTCTGCCAAGAGGGACGGGTATGGTGAACACTATTGAATTTTGGTCTCTCAGGGTGCCTAGTGCAGCCACATGTCACTTCGCGGAACCCTCATGCAATCTATGGGATACGATCATCCCATCTTAGAGATGAGGAAACCAAAGACGGGAAGGCGTTTGCTCAGTCAGGGTCAAGGGCTGAAGAGAGGAGGCAAAGACAAAGACCACATCCCTGCCTGCCATGCCGCAGACCCTGTCTGCTCCCCTCTGCCACCTGCCGCCTCTACCCAGAACCCCTCAAGAGCAAGGCTTCTCAGGGCCCAGTGCAGCTGCCCAGCCCAGGGAGGGCTGAGGAGCACTGGGTATTTGACAAATGTCTGCTGTTTCCCGGGCAGACTATCAACCCTGGGGTCTGAGAGAGAGGTCAACAGGGAGCACGACCTCCTTCCACAACTCCATTTTAGTAGGGGAACGACTGAAAAAGGTCTGCAGCATAACCAAGAAGTCATTTTCTGGTGTGTCCTAGAAAACCAAACAGCCTGGGAGTGCAGCCCTAACAGGTCAGTGGTGAGAAGGTATTTGCATGGAGGAAATGAAGGCGGGCCGGCGCCATCTCTCAGAGCCCTCCCGCTCTCACACATCTCGGGCCCATTAGCACAGGAGACAGGGAGCTGGATTTATGTGCACGCTTTCTCCTGTAAGTCGGAATCAACTAGACGGCAGTGGGTTTGGGTTTTTTTTTCCTCCTCAGTCACCCAATGGGCTCTGTGGGAGGCACCCAAGAGAGGCCCAGGGCCAAGAGCTTGGAATATTCAACCTCTTTCTATGACCAACCCCCAGCCTTCCTCACTTTAATATTAGAACAATTTTTCACGCTGGAGCTGAAATAGTGCAAAAAATGGCGCTGCTGTAATTGTTGTTAGATTGTGTGTCAGCCTGATAAGATGTAACAAATATTTTCTTCCCCACCAGGGTCTGTTTCCCTTTGGTAATGGATGGAGAAACTTCTCATAGTCAGCGAGGGATCGGTCGTAAAAACTTCACCTGGAAGATTAATGTAATTATCACAGGCCCTGCTGGAAAAATAGGAGGGAAATTAAAATAACCCAACCTTCTTGCCTACCCAGAACCATTTCCCTCACTTTGGAGCACAAATGAGTGAGGTGGGCCATCTCCTGTGCACCCCCATGGCCAGGATAGTTAAGGAGCAAGAACCAGGGCTGAGGCTTCAGGAAAGCAAGGCCACACACATCACCTCCGGTCAGGAACAAGTGGGTCTGCTCTCCTCACTGGGATCACTGTGGGCACCAGCACATCCCCAGGCAGTTGGGGAAGACTTTACCAGAACCCGTGGTTGTGAGGTTTGCTGTCACTGCTGCTTCCATCTACCCTGCTCCTCAAATACTGTCAAAGCTTTCAGAGACCTAAGCAAGAGGCCTGGTTCTTGTCCGCTGGGGGATCAGGCCTTAGGCAAGGCACCTTCCCTGCACCTAACCCTGCTTTCCTCACCTGCCTGGTACAGAGGTCCCATCGTGAAGGCCCCTGTATCTACTCCTAAGTACTGACAAGTCCAGACACTGGGGGAGGCAGTGTAGCCAAATCTGCTTCCCTCACCTACTAGCAGGTCAATAACTTAACCTTGGCACTTCATTTTCCTATTCTGTAAAGCGGGCTGGTAACAGCACCTACATACCTATCTCATAGGGCTACTGTGAAGGCAAAACAAAATGACAAGCATTAACACACAGTAAGCTACCTACCACACGATAAGCTCTTGGTACATCTTAGTTATCACAATCTCTTTCTTTTTCTAAAAGGGCCCAAGTTAGGAGGCCAGAGACACGATGACCTCAGAGGACATGGGCAGCCAAGACAGGTGGCACCATTCAGCCCTGACTTCCAGAAGCTACCCACCATCCCCTGCTGGGGATCTTCATCCAGGGCCAGGCACCCTGGAAGAAAACCTCTTTCTGGCAGCAGGGCCTGGCTGGGGCTCTCCAAGGGCGGGATGGAATCCCCTAGCATTATCTCAACCCTCTGGACATGCTGATAGGTGATCATCACTAATGGGAGAGAAACTGCCTGTCCCACAAGGACCTGATAGCTAGTTTGGATTAAGCAATGATTGGATCAAGATGACCATCTTGGTTAGTCCCATCTCCTCCACTGAATGGCAGCACCGAGATCCTGGCTGTAAGGGCAGAAAGCCAAGACTAGCTTCCCTGGGGCTGAGCCCTGCCTCAGGCACACAGCTGGCAGGACAAGGACTGGGCCTGGCAGACAGCAAGCACAACCCAGTATGGTGGACGGTCGGGCGCTGTCATGTCTGTTTTTGATCAAGGGGCTCAAAGCCCCACTCAGTGGACTAAAACACAGATGTAGTCACAATGACGGGAGGACATCAAGGGGACACAGGAGCCAACTGAAAGGCTCCCAACAGCCAAAGCTGGAACAATCTGGGCAATAAAATAAACCAGTATTGGATTATAATCCAAAGTATAAAATAAAAGTCCATGAGTCCATACTGATACAAATGATTGGCTAAATAAATACATGGGGGAGACAAATCTTCATGCAGAAAAATTCCAAATAATTCAGGTACTCAGCCCTCAAGAAGGTGAAGCATAACTCCCCACTTCTCAGTGTGGGTTTGTGCACAGTGACTTCCCGCCAGTTAGTATGGGAAGAAGTCAGCATCAACAGTGATATAAGTCATGTTGGTAGTATATACCTTTTATATGATGTGATGAGATGAGAATGGCATTTTACCTATGTGGTCTTCTCCCAGAAACGTACTACCCCTGTTTAATCATGAGAGAAACATGAGGAGGGACATTCTCCACAGGCTGGTGAACTGTTAGGAGAACAATACAACTAACTGTCATGTGGTATCCTCGATGGGATCCTGGACAGAGAAAGGACGCAGTGGGAAAAACTGAGGAAATCTGAGTAAAGTGTAAATAACCTATTGATATTGGTTCACTAATTGTGACAAATGGACCATACTAATGTAAGATGTCCAAAATACGGGATGCCTGGTATACTCCTGTACTATCTTCACAATAATTCTGTAAATGTAAATGGTTCTAAAGTAAAACATTTCAACAAAAAGGTTTTTAAAAAGAGATGTTGTTAAAACAACCTATAACGATTTATTAGAAAATACACCAGATAAGGAAGGATTCCTTCCAAGCAGCCACAGAAGAAGTTCTGATAATTTAAAATGAAATACTTTCACACTGAAATGGCAATGCTGCCAACCGTAAAGAAGCCCCCGCCCAGGGAAAGCTCCTGAACGGAGGCTGGACCAGGCCAGGCACACTGGAGTCTCTCCTTGCAGAAGACGAGAGCCAGCTCACTTCATGTACTTATCCTGCTGATCAGCCAGGATTTTGGCCGAGGACTTGGCATCATAGAAAAGCTCGCTGATCTCCTCAACATGTTCTTTCTCAATGCTGTCCTTCCCATTGATCTTAGCAAGCAAGTTGGCTGGGGTCAGCAGCTGCACCGAGTACCTACAGTGGACAGGGCCAGGGCAGGAGTGAAACAGGGGCCACTCAGAGGGAGCTCCCCTCCCCAAAGTCAGTACAGACACAGGCGCTGAGCCCAGCATTCAGCGTGTGCTAGCTGTTGCGGGAACAGCAGAAAAGGACATAGGCACTTGGCTCTCCTCAGAGATCTGCAGTAACAACCCCATTAGTGAGGGGGAGAAGCCACCAATATGATGGTGAGTCCTACTCCCCAAATCTGTCACAGTCTAAAGGATCTCCAAATACCCGGTAACTCCACTGCTACTTGAAAGAACTGCAAACTTGGGCACAGGTCCTAGGTAGGCAAGGTCAAGGCATGCCAGGGAAATGTCACATGTAGCCTACTGGAAGCCCGTGCCCCAACCAAAGGCATTAAATGAGTAGTTCTTAAGAGCACCGCTCCTCCCAAACACAAAAGCTTGCAATTGTGCCTTCAAGTCCAGGAGTAAGGAACTGACTCAAAGGAAAACAGGGAAGGGCCAAGGACTGTGAACTCGTGATTTTACAAGGAGTCAAGAAACCAATGAGGAACACTGGTGAGCTACTGGAGAACAATCTGTCTGCACTCCTCCTTCCCCACCAGGCACCCAGAGAACAGGACCCAGCAGGGGAGAGGGGAAGGCAGGACCTAGGCTAGCAAGCTACCTGCCCTGGACCCTAATCTTTGGTTCTGTCCACCTCCTCTGCCAGGTGCACTCCACCTGATTTCCTGCAGGAGAAGGGGACTTCACCTGATATTCTAGCTTTTTGAAAACCATCATCTAAGTATCCTGTACCTTAAACTGCAGTACCCTAGGACAAGGCCCACCACATCAGTGACAGCACACAAGGTCCCGTGCCCTGTGAGGGTTGCCTGTCTTGATTGCCCCCAACAGGTCCAGCCCCAGCGAAGCCCCAGGGCCATTCTAGAAGGCCTGCTGGGGCTGGAGCAACCCCCGGCAGAAACAGGCCCAGGATGGTGGCTCACCTCAGAGTGGTCTTAGTGCCAATCTCCCCTAGGTGGTTCAGCGCCTCCTCGCTGATGTTGATTCCCTCTGTCTGGGAGCGGATTTTAATGATCTTTCAGAGGAGAAAAAAACATGATCAACAACTGACTGCAAATTTCCCATTTATAAAGCGATGAGGTGCTTTAAAAACAATTTTGTTTAGTGTGCCTCATCCCTCATCACAAGCGAAACAGAGGCCCAAACCTGGGCTGGTGGACAGAGCGCTGGCTCCTGCCCAGGACTGCTGGCCTTGCACACCTCCAGGGCCACCAGGCCATCTTCGATGTGAATGCTATTATGTCCAGTGGCCGTGTTCCTAAAAAAGAGGGTGCCTGGCACCGGGGCAGCTTGGTTCCTGCTTCCTTGTCCCACCCACCGGGTGTCTTAGCACCCTTCCCTTGCAGCCTCCAGGCACAGAATAACTGTGGTCTCTTCCAAATCCCTGTCCACCCCTTCCCGGGCTCCTCTAGGGCTCGAACCTTCTTCTCTGGCATGGGCACCACCACCTCTAAGCACTCAGGCAAGAAGAGACGTTTTTTATTTGCTTGATAAATACGATGGTTAAATAAATCAAAAAAGTTACTTTTAAAGATTTACTAGCCCTCCTAACATCACCGGGAAATATCTAATCGATCAAGACGCTGCCGCTCGTTGCAGCTGGAGGATCTGGGTGAAGTTGGAGGAGCAAGCTGGCGCTGGGCAGTCACAGCTGTGGCACCCAGGGCCTGCAGGCGCACCAGCACTGAGTGATAAGGCCTCCAGGATAATGATGCTGTGTGTTGTGGAGTGGAGATAACTCGAGGACTTCAAGCCTCATATAATACAGGAATTTTTCACTTTGGCAGCTTTGTAAACAAGGTATCAAGAAGCACCTGTTTAAATTAAAGCCATAAAAACACACCCAGGGTAGATGCACAGGAACTGGAAAAGACTGAGTCCCAAGCTCAAGCCTCACAAGAGGAGGGAAAAGGAGGACCAGAGGTTTATCGACCTGCCACTCCCAAAGCCTCACTTCCGCTCTCCCGGCAGAGTCCCGGAGCAGGAGCCACAGGGGTAGGGGCTTAGTCTGATGGCTCTGGTAAGGCTTGGCCAGCGTGCCAGGTGCTTGTAAATGGAAAAGGTCCTGCAGGGCGTGAGGTGGGGGGCAGGGCGGTGGTGAGGGGATGCATGCGCCCTGGGGGCGGCAGCCTTCAGCTCAGGCAACCATGGCCCTACAGTGGTGAAAGCCAGGTGCAGTCAACAAGGCTTGGTGCCGTGAGAGAGCACTAAGAAAGAGCAGACTGGAACTCAGACTTTTTTAGGAAATGTCCTAATTTCCAAATGTTGGCAAGTTGTTCACACTTCACAAACACTGCCGAGACCACATAGAACTTATTTGTTTGGCCAGCGGGCTGCCAGTGTGTGACTTCTGTGGACACTTCAGAGGCTCTAAGGAGATGGAAGCACTTCACCCTGGGCCTGGTGGGACCGCAGGAGAACACTCTGTCCTGAGTAGCTGTCCTTCGAGAGCTGCACAGAATCTGAGGTTTGGCTTCAGGACTGTCGGGGCTCTGCTCTCACTGTCTCCCGAGCTGGTCAGAGCAATCACAAGAGCTGCTGCTTCACACCGCTTAGAAGCAGACAGTTCATAAATTAGATCTTTAATCATTTAATAACCTACAGGGATAGTTTATGAGGGTGTCGGCACTGATGGCAGAGTACACAAGTTATATTCAGTTTGTTTGTTTTTTTTAAAACCTACCCCAGGCCCCAGCACAAGTGCCAAGATTGTCCCTTGAACCGACAAGCACAAAGCAAGGCCTGTCCCACAGTCTGTCTGTTCTCTTCACCCAAGAGAAGCCTGAGAGGGGCTCTACTCTCCCAGCACAGGGCAGACAGTTCCCAGGGGTGTGTGGACTGTGCTGAGTGGGGACCTCAGGCCTGCTGCTTACTCCCTGCGTGACCCACTCTTCCTGAGCCACAAACCCTGGTGCATCCCAAAGCAGCTGTAAGGCCTGAGGGTGTCTAGGAAGCCGTGCAAGCTGGTGACAGCCTGCATTCGTGGCAGACACACGGGGCTCCAGTCCCCACAGCAGGGATTCAAAGGGCTTCACAAACTAAGCCGCAGCAGGGAGGGGAAGGCTTCCAGTAACCGCCTAGGACGAATTTCCCTTCTGCTCAATGAGTGCCTTGGCTTCAACCTAGCATTCATCCAACAGCAAGAGAACATTATCTGGTGTCAAGGGCCCCAGCCATCAACACTATCTCCCAAATAATACACACAATCGACGTTATGAACTGTAGCTGTTTCTGTATTCTGTCAATCCTGCTTTATGAAGGGAGATCTCTGACAATGCATCACCAAGGCACTTCTAGGTGTTGGTCAATAAGAAACGCTGGGCAGGGCCAGGCTGGAGGGGCCTCTGGGGATTGGGAGGGCTGTAGGAGTGTCCAGGAGAGGCCCTGCTGACAAACTGCCAGAGCAAACGCATGGCCAGGGGTAACAGTTCTGGCAGGTGGGCAGCTGGCTGGCACTGTGATTAAGAACATGGGCTTCAGGAGCAGATGCCCGGGTACAAGTCAGTCCTGTCACTCACTAGCCACTGACTAGCTTTGTGCACTCGGGCAAATCATTTAGCCCAAGTCTCAGTGTCCTCATCTTTAAGAATGACAATGTAACAGTTCTCCCTGCCTCGCAGGGTGATTTGGGAATCAAAAAAAATCATGCTGGCAAAGGACTCAGGAAGATGTCCAACAAAGTGGGCTCATTCTCTCATGAATAGAGAGGATGCAGGCAGAGCCGGTCAAGAGGTCAGCGTGGCCCTGGTCCACTCACATCCAGCCATGGCCCCAACCGTGGGCCCCACAGCAGGAGAGACCTATGCCAGTAAGAAGACCCTCGGGTGCAAGGGTGGGCATACTGCACATCACCCCAGGGGTACATCGATCTAGGGCACGACCCACCACCACTAAGCAGATGGCATGGGCTCTGCAGAGATAGCCTGGTTTTGCATCCTAGACTGGCCACTCACCAGCTCAGTGACGCAATCATAAAAATAACACAGACGGGGATCATAACAACTACCTGAAGTATTGTTAAGGGGACTAGAAATCTAAGTGTAACATGTCTGGGCAATGCTTGGCACGCAGCTGGTACTCAAGCTCCAAATCAAGAGAGAGTCATTTCCTGCAGAGGGAAACGGGACCATGTCCCCTGGGTTAAGGCCTAAATTCATACATCTCTGTCACCCCCCAGCTCTAAGCCAAACCCAAATTCAGCTCATGCTCTGGAGTATATGCCATGTGCCAGGCAATGAGATCAATGCTCCCGTGTACACTTCATTTAGCCCTCTTATTATAAGGTCAGTTTTATGACTTCCATTTTTAGGTGGTTCTTCTACGCTGTGATCCTGTTTCACAGCTCATCTCTGTAGCTCTTTAACAGCCCTCAAGGACTCTGGTCTATAAAGTCACAGACCTGCCCAGGCCCGGCCTCCACAGCCAGAGAAAGCCTGTCACTGATCACGTGGTTTACAGCAGAAGGCCATCAGGTACTACCAGGACTCTTGCCTCCCCCGCCACCCCACGTGAGGGGGCTGTGTTCTACACTCCCCTGGAGCCAGTCTCCTGTGTGTTCCGGTGGGACAGAGCCCCCGGCTTCACCCTTAGTAGAAGAGGCTTGGGGCTATCACCAGTTCACATTTTACTGCCCCCTTCTCCTGGAGCTGGTGTCCTCCCTGATGGCTGTCATCAAGTCAAAGCTTTCTGTCTTGCTCCTAAAGCGCATCAGATGGGAGCAGTGGAGAAGCGCAGCCAAGATCCCAGGCAGCAGGGGGGTCTATGACGCTCTAGGCTTTATCCAGTTAGCCCTCCACACTTTTCAGATGAGGGGACCGAGGCTCAGAAGCAGTTTGACCCTCAGCCAAGTGGTGGGATTGTGAGTGGGACAATGACAGGAGAGGATAGTGAGGGAGGGGAGGAGGGGGCTCACCTGCTTCATCTCCTGCGGTGTGTACAGCATGGTCCGGATGATCATCACCCGGTCCAGAAGATCGAGAGGGATGCCGTGAGGAGAGATGACATCCTCAGTGCCTCTGCAAAGGCCAAAATCACTCGTATCACCCATGCATCTTTTAGACAAGGAACTGGAAACACAGGTTTAGCCACTCACAATGACAAAGACTAAGAGCCAGGACCACAGAAAAATCAGACTAATATTCAGGTAGCTTCAAAAAACTTCACCATCTTCCTAAGTATCAGTTATCAGAGGAAATTTGGCGAAGAGAAAAGAAAAATAAGTCATCTACAATTATACTCAAAAAATGATGACCTAGATATTTGCCAAAATTTCATCTATACATTTTTACAAATTATACTAAGCTTGCACATAATTTTTTTTATTTTGTCCATGTTGCTTCAGTCTTAAAATCATGTTTAATATTTACTTAATAATCCATCAATTATTACTGAACCCAAATTGTTGAGCATTTAGATAATTTCCAATTTTTGTTGCTGTTATCATCATTTTGATAAAAAAATTTTATTCACATAGCCATCAACATTCCTCAGAACTTCTCACAGTGCCTGCCAGACAGAATTCCTGCCACAACCCTGGGTATCTATTTGAATGAATAAATGACTGTCCTAATTTACAAAGCTACATAAGTGATCTGATTTCACTGTATCATAGCCAGCACTGGATATTCTCATTCTTAAATATTTTGCTGTTTAGAAAAAGAGGGAAGGGTAACACCTTGTTGTAATTTCTATCTCCATAATTACTAACAAGGTATCTAAATATTTTCCTTTATACTCATTACTTATTTTCTTTTTGGGAACTGTCCAGTAATATCCTTTGCCTATTTTTCTCTTGAACCCTTAAAGTACTTTTGCCAAGCCAAAGGAAGAACAGGTCAGGAGAGGTGCCCAACATGAAAACTACAGCCTTGTCCACCCACTGGACTGTGAGGCGCCACTGCCTGAAGGGAGGCAGGCTGGGCAGACACTGGGGACACATGAAGCTCGGCTTTTGCCACAGTGTTTGGAAGCTACATGGGCCTCCACCTCAGCCTTTGGAAGTGCTGAGGTCTATGTCAGCACCACTTCCAGCATTCCTAACTTGAGCAAGACTGCCGAGAGTTTATCATCATATCTAAATAATATAACAAAGAACAAGGCATGTCCTTTGGATTTAATGGTTGCTGTTCTTGTTAGGTGCCGCCTAGTCAGTTCTGACTCACGGAGACCCTATGTACAACAGAACGAAACACTGCCCGGTCCTGCGTCATCCTCACAATCATTGTTATGCTTGAGCCCACTGTTGCAAGCACTGTGTCAATCCATCTTGTTGAGGGTCTTCCTCTTTTTTGATGACCCTCCACTTTACCAACCATGATGTCCTTCTCCAGGAACTGGTCCCTCCTGATAACATGTCCGAAGTATGTGAGACGAAGTCTTGCCATCCTTGCTTCAACGAGCTGCACTTCTTCCAAGACAGGTTTAGATTTGTTTGTTCTTCTGGCAGTCCATGGTATATTCAACATTCTTCGCCAACACCAAATTCAAAGGCATCAACTCTTCTTCAGTCTTCCTTATTCACTGCCCAGCTTGTACATACGTATGAAGCAACTGAAAACATCATGGCTTGGGTCAGGTGCACTTCGGTCCTCAAAGTGACATCTTTGCTTTTTAACACTCTAAAGAGGTCTTTTGCAGCAGATTTGCCCGACGCAATGCATCGCTTGATTTCTTGACTGCTGCTTCCATGGCCATTGATTGTGGATCCAAGTAAAATGAAATCCTTTACAACTTCAGCATTTTCTCCGTTTATCATGATGTTGCTTACAGGCCCAGTTGTGAGGATTTTTGTTTTCTTTATGTTAAGGTATAACCCTGTAGTCTTTTATCTTCATCAGTAAGTGCTTCAAGTCCTCTTCACTTTCAGCAAGTAAGGCTGTGTCACCTGCATATCACAGGTTGTTACTAAGTATTCCTCCAGTCCTGACACTTCGTTCATCTTCATGTAGTCCAGCTTCTTGGATTATTTGCTCAGCATACAGATTGAAAAAGTACGGTGAAAGGATATAACCCCATCCCATGCCTTTCTTGATTTTAAACCATGCAGTATCCCCTTGCTCTGTTAGAATGACTGCTCTTGGTCTAAGTACAGGTTCCTCATGAGCACCATTCTCGTTCTTTGCAATGTTATCCATAATGTTTTATGATCCACACAATCGCATGCCTTTGCAAGTCAATGAAACACAGGTAAACATCCTTCTGGAATGGTCTGCTTTCAGCTACGATCCATCTGACATCAGCCATGATATCCCTAGTTCCATGCCCTCTTCTGAATCTGGTCTGAATTTCTGGCAGTTGCCTGTCAATGTACTTCTGCAACTGCTTTTGAATGCTCTCTAGCAGAATTTTACTTGTGGTATTAATGATACTGTTCCATAATTCTGCATTCTGTTGGATCACGTTTCTTTGGAATGGATACAAATATGGATCTGAATATTCAATTTCAAATATAAGTAAGCATTCTAGAAATACAACTTCAGTAAAAATTCTGTCTGTTGAAATTATATCCAGTCAGTTTAAGTATAAATGGATATTTATTATTGTAAAAAGAAATGCTGCACAAATGAATAATTGTTAAACCTGTTGATTTTGGGTACAAAAATAATTAAAAACTTTCAAAATAAACAGGGAACTAGATTAGTAGCAAATATTAAGATAACTTTAGAGAAATCATCTTTTTTTCAATAACGAGTATATCTTAAAAATATTTTCTACGAAACAAAAAAGAGAATCAGAAGATTAAATTCTATCAATTCAAATTTCTGTATCTGATGTGCTACAATCTTCACACTAAGCACGATAACCTTTAAAAACTACATTTAATTTTTAGTTATTTAATTCCATTTAGGTCATAAGTCTTTTTTTTTTTTTTTAAAGTCCCATATGGGAGTTCTTTACATCTTAAAAAGTCAATTTTGCCACGTTAAAATATTCCAAGGACAAAAATACCCACAATTCTACAACACCCATAATAAATCAGCTTCAATTCAGATATAATAATAAATATAAAAAGTTTAAAGAAAAGGTTAGAGAAAAGTGAGGTACACCCTTATAAAGAACAGACTGCATAAGCATGCATTAAGAAAATTTCTTAGAGTTTTGAGTCCATAAAGACTAAAAATTCAAACAAAAAGTCTGTTAAAAGACTGATTGAGACTGCTAAGCACTTTTCAGTAATTAAAGACAAAACATTTGAAATTTGTCCAAGCTATGAATCTTAGGCACAAAGTTTCTTCTAGAAAACACATTAGTGAAAAATGGTCTCCAGAGTGCTATTCCACTAAGCACAAAAGGGTCCATGATGCTGCTAATGGGCCAGCTGAGTGGGAGCAGCTGTGTGATCCTGCACAGGCACAGGGTGGGGACCACAGGAGAAGCTCTCAGTGCGGACCCATCATTGTCCCTGCACGGAACATTCCTAGTAATAAAGTGTAACGATGATCACATTTTGGCTGAAATTGCAGGTTTATTCTTGCATCCTAGAAGTTCATTTCTAACTTCGGCCTTGGCCTCATATTGATTTTAACATTTTGGCACTCAGTAATTGTCCAAACTGTGTTTTTGGTGAACCTCTTCCAGATACACAGTTTTGGGCTGTGAGAGCACAGGCCCAATTTCTACTAGGACTCCAACACAGCACATCTGTAGGAACCAGGCAATTTCCTACAGATATACCCACATATGTGCAAAATGACATACGTACAAGATTAGCAGCATTGTTTGTGATAACAATAACTGCTGAAAACAACCTCAATATCCAACAAGAGGGGTAGAAGAAAGAAAAGAGGCAGCAAGGCAGAGTGATTAAATACTCTGGGGTCAAAGCAGCTTGGGTTCATACAGCAGCTTCGCCTAGCATCTCTTTACCCCAGTGCCCTCATCTATAACCTGGGGCTAAAAACAGTACCAATCTTTTAGTAAGGTTTGAAAACAAACCCTGTTGCCGATGAGTCAATTCCAACTCATAGCGACCCTATAGGGCAGAGCAGAATTGACCCATAGGGTTTCCAAGGAGTGGCTGGTGGATTCAAACTGCCAATCTTTTTGGTTAGCAGCCAAGCTCTTAACCACTGTACCACTAGGGCTCCTAGGAAGGTTAAATTAGTCAATATTTGTAAAGCGTTTCAGACAGTGCCTATTACAAAACACCAAATAATTTTTTGTTACAGAAATCAAAATTAAAAACTTGTTTATGGAGAATATGGCACAACGCTAGAGGGATACACAAGAAACCAGTAATAGCGGTTGCTATCAGAAAGAAGTGAATAGTTGCAGCACCAGATTAGGACATTTCAAAGTATATTCTTTTTGAATCTTTCACATTTGAAAGCAAAATTAATTTAAATGAAAAAATTTTTAGAAGCCTCTAGTTCCTGGAATCAAGGCCACACTCTACTTTAGACACAGCAAAGCAAGCCACAGTGGCCACCTGGGTGAGTCTACCGGCAGGCAAGCTTTGTGGCAAAACACACTTTGCTTCAGAAGCCAGGAAATGCCAGTTCCCTTTCTTGGGTCTCAGTTTTTACATCTGGACTTGAGACTTCTTCAGGACCTCTGCAACTCTATATTTTCCACCCAGTAAACGGTATGAAGTCCTAGTGGCAAAGTGGTTAAGAGCTCAGGCTACAAACCAAAAGGTCAGCAGTTTGAATCCACCAGCCGCTCCTTGGAAACCCTATGGGGCAGTTCTACTCTGTCCTGTAGGGTTGCTGTAAGTCTGAATCGACTCAATGGCAACAGTTTTTTTTGTTTGTTTTTGTTTTTAAATCCAAAGAGAGATTTACCACATCTGATACCGGAAAGGAAAAAAAAATTTACAAATCATCCTCCAGTTGTGCTATTTTTTCCACCACATATTTAACAGCTCTTGACCATACATACTGCTCCCAAATTAAACTTTTAATGCTTCATGTCCTACACTAGGTCAAATGAATGTTAAGCACAAAAGAGTTTCATTATCCAAGGATAATTGGTACCACAAAAAATCCACTTAAGAATCCCTCAAAACCAGGGCCCA